AAAAGAGAAGTCATCAATAAAAAGACAAAAAAGAAAAGACAATCAGCATAGCAATGTGTCACAACCAGGTTTGGAAATTAAAAAGCATCTTTATGAAGATATTAATTGTTTATAATTTTTGATGGACGGGTATAAAAAAGAAAGGACATAAAAAAGACCAGTTTTTGTTTCCTATTTAAAGTTAGGAAAAACTGTTCTGAGTTTGGCAAAATCCCCAGGCTCGCTGCCTAAATGGAGAGTAATTACATTTGCAAAATATCATTTATAGTCACTAATAAAGTTGATTCAAATATTTCACCACCTTTGAAATTCTAGAAAAAGAGACGACCCACAGACTAAGGAGAAGGGAGGTGTGTGCAAATCACCTAAAAATGAATAATCAGATCCATGGAGAATGAAGTCTCTATCTAAGGCATGGGAGGAATTTGGTTAATTGGTCTGAGGTTTATACAGTTATCTATATTGCTAAACTCTGTCTTGCCCTTGTTTACTTTGCTGCTGTGATGCCTTCATAAGATAAGAAGTGAAACTATTTTGAGGGTTATTATAATCATGGCAAACATCACTAAGTTGACATGAATGGAGCAATTAACCCAGATCCTGGTTCATTTGATAGACAGGAAACTTAGTTATGCTATAGTTTTCTGATGACTTCCTTCCAGGTTGAACAAAAGCCAGATGAAGTTCTGCCCCTTCCTGTGCAAACCTGGGTTCTACCACTGAAAATAGAGTGTTAGAGGGTCTGTAGTGTGGTGGGGTACCTTCATGACGAAGAAGAGAAGGATGATGATGACCACATTGACCTGGGGGTGAATCCACACAGCTGACTGGCCCAGGCTTTGGGGATCACCCACGTGCTTTACCCATGTATTGTTGTCAAACAGGGTGCTGATGGCTTCACGGGGCATCAGCTGTGAGGGAAGAAGAGAGGAAGCAGGCTCTCCAGGGACAGACTGTATTTCCCTTTTTAGGAAACTCATCCCCAGCTCCTTTTTGTCCTATTCTTGGGGAGACAGTTTACCCTTGGGCAAAAGTACATGAGCTCCAAGTCTGAGTTGCCTCCCCGCTTCTTTGCTTAGACGCCAGCCAGAGCTGTGAACTGATACCCTCCTACCCGTCACCCCTGGTTTCAGGCTCCCCTAAAGCTGACCTCTCCAGCCATGAATTGACCCATTCCTGGAGGAAAGGTGAGTGAGGCGATGACAAAGGTAACAATTCCAGGATACAGCAGGGGCCTGAAAAAGAAACAGTTAGCTGTGCTCCCCACTTAGCCAGCCCACAGTGACCACCACACTGAGCTTTGGCAAGCTGTGGTTTCCTGTAGTTCACTGTAGTCTCTATTCTTTCAACAAGGAGTATTCTCTTTGCCAAGAAAGTAAATCTTTTTTGGAGGAGCCTGCAGGGCTAGCCCCCTACCCACAGAATCAGAGCTTCCAATTATTTGAACACACGCACTGTACCTAGAAGCGTTTAATACTTTCCACAAAGATAAAAAGGGAGGAACTCTTGGGGAAATCAGAAAGTAAGTGCGTAGGGCAAGGGAAGGGCAGTGACTCACTGCTTAGCAAGAATCTGGCTGAGGGCCTTGTGCTTTCGGACACCGAGCATGACTTGGCGATGCAGATACACAAAAACAGCTCCCAGCAACCCGCAGAAAATCCTAAGGGTACAAGTTACAGGATTGGGACCTTGTGGACACGACACCCTCATGCCTCTGCCTCAGACACTGCAGGGAAGCCAACAGCAGCCTCCCCTTTCCCTTTCCATCAGCTCCCTCAGTTCACACTTCACTCATGCCCACTCCAGCTTCTTCCTAGCTCCAAAACCTTTCAATTCACAGCCCCAGCCCATTCCCAGCTTGCCATACCCGGAGAAGGTGGTCGCACTGACCCAATGACAGCAAAGGCTGGGAGTTCCTTCAGGTCAAAGGGGAAATCCATTCGGAAATTAGTTCTGAACAGAGCAGTGATGGTGACTATAGGATGGAAAGGCAAGGATCAGGTGGGAGCACGACAGAGCTACAGACAGGGAAAGAGAAGTCCTTCCAAGTGCTCCCTTCCTCCAATTCCAGTTTCTATTCCATTTAATTTCCTTTTTTGTACACATCAAACTCTCCATGGTCATACTTCGTACCGCATGACCTAATCTTGTCCTATACCCGAGCCTTGGTTCTGCTTCCCAAACGGCACCCATTCCTTTTCCCGCCCCCAGAGTTTCCCTCCCTGCTTCTTCACCAGCGTCCCCACTTCACACCACCTCCACCGGGTCTCCCGTTACCTGCATCCTTGTTCCACACTGCCAGGACCCGGAACACAAAGGCACTGAACGTGGCAGCAAAGAACCCTCGCCAGTAGTTTCGAACAGCAAAGTAAGTTGAGGTGACCTCGATGCTAAACAGCACTCCTACGGGGGCAGGGAGGCAGGTCAGCCGCAGGTCCCGTGGTGGGACCCGAGGAGCCTTGGCTGAAATAGGAGTCTGGGAAGCAGCAGAGGAAGTAATGTTCCTTGTTGTTCTGTGCTGCAAACATATACCTGCCCATGGTGGCTTTTCTTTTTTCCCAAAGCAGGAATGTGGATCAATGAGGTACAGAGGAGATGGGAATGGATAGACCCTCAGCTCCCAAAACATCAGGCTCAAGTGGTTGTGCCCTACCCACCCCTTAAAATGTGGGGTTCACAACTGTCAAATATTCATGGAGATTTATATTTAATATTTCTGCAGAAATACTAAAAGGGAGGAATCTTCCACCATAGGTGCTCAGCACAGTTGACATATGGAGCTCCGGACATGCAGGTTCCTTGATGCCCACTTCCCATTGTCCTATCTCCCCCATACCTTGGGGAAACTTTATGAGAAGCAAGGAAAAAGGACAGGGAATTATGCAAGCCTGTAGGGTTCGATATTTCAAGTTGAAAAAGATGAATAGTAATAAAACAGAAAAATCTGACTTACAGAAGGTGAGTGAGGTAAAAGGAAAGCCAACTAGCCGCCTTCATTAGTGCGTGTTCTGAGGGGGGATGCTCCAGCAGAGCATGAGGAGGTGTCGGGATGCACAGTACTCACACAAGGAGGGGCCGGGGCAAAGGAAGCAATGCTAATAAAGCCATAAAACAATTCAAAACAATAAACAAAACATCTGTAAAGTGTTAGGATAAGAGAGCTGGTCTTTGATTAGGTAACAGCTAACACACACATCTCACACTTGACTAAGCCTCGTCTTTATAGAAGGAGGAAGAGAACTAGGATGGATGGGGATGAGGCCTTGCCCAAGAAAACAAAGCAAACAAGGCAAAATCTGTCTTCTTTTTTCTACAGTGCAGAGTTGTTGGCCTGCCACCTGCCTCTCTCTCCAGACAGTATCTCATATATTAGGAATTCTCTTCACCCTGTCCTGAATTCGAAAGTCACATCTCTTCAATCTCTTAGGGCTTTCACCATCTCTTGCAAGGGACAGTGAACCAGTCACATTAAGTCTGGGTGTCAAGGGGATGGTAGCTTGTGGCTGCTGCCCCCTGGAGCCAGGGCAGCTTTCTGATGGAGGACTTCCTTACTGTCACCTCTAGAGAGTCATCCCCAGTCTTCCTCTTTAGGTAGAAACCATCCATGTCTCATCTTATTTCTCTCAGAATTTTGAATTACGTTATTATTTTATTTATGTGTATGAGTGTAATGCCTGCATGTAAGTGCACCTGTGTCCTGCAGTGCCACAAAGGTCAGAGAGGGCATTAGAGCTCAGGAACTGGAATTACTGACAGGTGTTAGCTGCCATGTGGTGCTGGGACTCTCTGCAAGAGCAGCCAGTGCTCTTAACCACTGAGCCATCTCTCCAGTCCCAGAATTTTGGATTATTGGAGTACTTCCCACTTTCAGATCTGGTTATTTGTTTTCCCTCCTGACTTTCCCCTGGTATCGGAAGCTCCTTGGAAACCATGACCTAGCACAGTGGCAGACGCCAAGTTGGAGCTCAATACCTTGTATTTGGATGAGCAGGAGAGGAGAGGGTATGGAGGAAGAAGAACACAGAGGCCGTTTCAGAGAATGGAGCCAGCCACCCTTCTTGCCCTGTTCTTTAAATCCCATCAGAGAAGGCAGCTGTGAGCCCACAGTGGGAAGTTGAGTAGGACTCTCTCCTTTGCTTTGCCAAAATAAAGGGAAAGAAAGCTGGCTTTGCAGTGTAACTTTGCCTGGGCTAAATTATCCAACTTATATGTTACAGCCATTTTAAACAAATCCTGTGCTGTTTTCTCTCCCATGCAGATCTGGGGCACTTTCCTCAGCAGTTTGCCACTATGTGATCGGAAATGAGAGCTAACTTTAATATTACCCTGAGCCAAACATAAAATGTTCTGCTAAAAGGAAACAAAGCTTTAAAAACACAAACAGCTGTTGGAAATTCTCCAGTCTTAGGTCTTCTTCTCATTTTCACTTCTGGTTCCTATGCTGTACCTCTGCTCAGTGAGGGCACTATTTGTGGTCTCCAACTCTTGCTATTTACAGACACATGCCCATGGTGTCAGCTATGGCTATCTATTAATAATTAGAAAAACCTGTGATGACTAATCTTGGTTGTCAACTTGATGCCCCTGGGAAGAGGGAACCTCAATTGAGGAATTTCCTCCATCAGATTGGCCTGTTCATGTCTATGGCATGTCTTGATTGCTAATTGATGTAGGAAGCCCAGCCTACTGTTAGTGGTGCCATCCCTGGGCAGGTGGACTTGTACTATACAAGAAAAGTAGCTGAGCAAGCCATGGGAACAAGCCAGTAGTCAGCATTCCACCATGGTTTCTGCTTCAGTTCCCACCTCCAGGTGTTCTAATCAGAAACAGATAGCCATACTTGACACCATGGGCATGTGTCTATAAGTATCAAGAGTTGGAGACCAACCCCAGGTTCCTGCCTTGAGTTCTTGCCCTGGCTTCCCTAATGGTGAACTGTAACCTCAGAGATGAAATAAACCCTTGCCTCCCCAAGTTGGCTTTGGTCAGTGTTGTTATCACAGCGACAGTACCTAAACTACAATACCTGCATCTTCAGCCCAGTTCCTAGGTTTTGGACTAATCATCCTGGCTGTCTATTGATTTGACCTGGTTATGCCACAGGGACTTCAAACTCAACATACTCCAAGGAAAATTAGTCACCTTCTCTCCAGACCCATTTTACTTTCTGTATCTCCCACCATAGGGATTAACGTCACTATGTACTGAACTGCCCTTGTTGGAAACCTGGGTGCTAGTCTAGAACTCTTCTGTTACTCTGTCTTCACAAAACCACTCACCAGGCAGCATCAGCTTTTCTTGCTGCCAGTCACATTTCTCAGCCTCTGCTTTATCTTGTCTGCTCTGCCCAGTTCTGTCTGTCATCATCTAGCATCAGGATTATGACAACAGTCTTCTTGTTGATCTTGTTAATCCTGTTCATCCACAGTCAATTCTACTCATCACACATGTGCCAAGAGGATTGGATGGGCAAACAAAGTTAGCCATGTCACTTCCTTGTTTAAAATCCTTCCATGGTTTCACTTCACCCATGACAGTATCTCCCAGAAGCAGTCCCATGAGACACTATGAGTCCCATAAGACGGTGTCTGTGTAAAGGGTTTGGTAGGAAATGCTGTTTACAGCTGTCCTGGGTATTCACAATGCATGTCAACATTTCAGATGTTCTGATAACCTTTCCAGTTTGTTTATTTTTAACTACCTGTTTATTCCTATTTAATCAAGCATTTTCCAAATAGTTGGGCCTTGTAACTGTTTCTTATATATTGCAGCTATTAACCACCATGAAGAATTGTGTTCTGTAAAACGTACTGGGGCAAATCCTACCCCAGGCAATAAAACACATATTTTTCTGCATAATTTCTGAAGACCTTCATGACTCAGTCCCATTTATCTGTCTGGACTCACTGCCTATTATCCTTTCCCATACCCCTTAGCAGCGCTCTCTACTGTGATGGCAGACACTAACTTTATATTGTCCATTCTATCCAGAATATCCTCACCTCCTTGCAAGTTCCTATGTATTAATTATGCCCATATCAAACACTGTCTCTTTCATGAAATTTCAGAAGCTCTCCCAGGCAGCCCTGAAGGTTCAGGACATTTTACCTAGGAATGCTATTGGGTCATTTAACTGCCTGTGATGGTTTGTGCGCCTGTCTCCCTGGGCCCGGAGAGAGTGGAGAATCAAGCCTAGTGCATGGCATACAATGGGAGCAAAAGGACTTTGCTTGTTTCCGTAGGATGCGAAATTATATTTCTTTCATTGGTATAAGGAATTAGGAGTTGCCTATGTTGTGAAGAAATCATCTTAATACTAAGTTTTTTTTTTTCTTTCTTTCAGAGTTACCCTATATTCATAAAAACTCAAATAGTGCCACCTGTGGATAGGTTTGTGATTTACCACTTGCTATAAATGGCCAAGCACAATAGTCCCTTCACTTCCACTTGCTAAACAAATTCTCGTAGGGGCTGGAGAGATGAAGAGATGGCTCAGCAGTTAAGGGCACTTGCTGCTGTTGCAGAGGCCATGGTTCGGTTCCCAGCACCCACGGGTAGCTCACAGTCTCTGTAATTCTGATTCCAGGGTTGTCTTCTAGCCTTCACAAGCACTGCTGTATGCACCTGTTGTGGCAAAATATACATACATTAAAAAAAATCTTAAAAAAGAACAATGTTTTACCTATAACTTTCCTAAGGTAACTTTCTCATACTCTACACAAGACCAAGAAGAAACTTTTTCAGTCAGCGCAGAAACTGCAGTTTCAAGAAGAAACTTTAAAACAATATTGTTAAAACAACAGCAACAGATTCTTCTGTAAAAACATTATTTAGATCTCTATTTGAGAGGCTAAGGGGTAAATAAAGGCAGTGTGTGTATACACGCAAGTGTGAACATTTAATGTGTAGAAATTCACACACACTAGCACTCACGGACAGAGACTAACAGCTTTAGTGCCTGGAGCTGACTGCAGCAGGGCAAACAGGATGCCAGCAGAGGGCCTGCTCACGGGATTGTCCTCATGCCCGGTGCTGCACGGTGTGAGTGCAGGGCACAGGATACGAACCCGGGTCTTTCTGCAAGAACAGCCAGTGTTCTTAATTGCTGAGTCATCTCTCTAGCCCCCAAGAGGAAATGCCAAAATTTCTTAATCCTTTCATAAATATACATACCCTAAAACGTTCCTCTTACCAGTAAATCATTCCTGAGCCAAGCCATTTTAGATACATGTTAGATACATAGATACATTTTAGTTTCTCTATGAGAAAATTGTTGCCTTTCTGTTGTTGAAAAGAACCCTTTAGCAGCTGGTCATTTAAAAAGCATATGCCCTTCCTTTTACTGTTTCTTCAGTCATCATTGGCATCCTTTTCATCCCAGTGATTCCAATGAGTGAGCCATATAATCTCTGCCCTGTTACTAAAGCTTCAGCTCAATTTTAATGAGGCACTAAAGATCTACCTGCCATTTGTGAACAAGTCCATACACTGATTAGCCACAATAAAATCACTCTTTCCTTATGTGCATACAGATAAACCCAACTGCAAATTGCTGTCATATAGCAGTTTAAAGGACAATGTTTCTTTAAAATTCCCATAAAGACTTCTCAATTTAAAGTGCACCATTATTCTAAATAAAGTCCACCTAGACTCCCTCTCATACCCTTAATAAAACACAACAAAATTCCTTAGAGAAGGAAGTAGAATCCATTAGAAGACAATCCATGCAGAGCATAAGCATCCAGCAGTACAAATAAGCTTTAACCCAAGTTGAGGGAGCACAAGGGATGGACTTGCCTCCAAGTGGTGTTCCAAAACAGCAGCCAACTCCCACAGCACAGCCCACTGTCAGGACATCAGTGTAATAGTATGGCTGCTACTGGGGAGAGACAGACAGATAGACAGGTGGGAGGAGGTAGGCAGGGGACAGAGAGGGGGGAGGAGAACAGGCAGGGATGGGAAACAGCAGAATGAGAGGCCTAAGTCACAGGGAATGACCGTGGTCCCATCACCCCTGTGACACCCAGGCCCGGAGAAACATAGTGAGTTTGGTAATCAGGAAATGACCTCACAAGCTCAAGGCCAATGATAGAAAACAAACAAAAGAAAACGTTAAGTAAAAAAATGCCAGGCAGGTAAATCAACAAATGGTGACGGAGCAAAGGGCTGCTGAGAAGTGGCAACAGCAAGGGGCAGGTAAGGGCTCTCACAGAAAAGTAGCAGGAAAGCCTGCGGGAGGGAACAGCCAGTCTCAGAACACCCAGCCCTCTGGTAGGGACAGTTGGGTGCCTGGAGACCAGGGGCTGCAATCTACAGGCACTCCCTGCATGCCCACCCAGCCATCCCTTCAGTGAGCATGGCCCCTCTACCCCAAAGCTGTGGCAGGTACCCACCCACCCCTCCAAGTTTGGCTCAGGCAACCCAGGTAGGGAGGAAGTGAAACTTGCCTCCAACAGGGGCTGCAAAGCAGCATCCCACGCCCACTGCACAGGCTGGCACCAGAAGGTCAAGCTGCCCAGGCACGGTCTGCAACAGAGAAGCACGACGGGCAAGGCGGATGGCAGACTGGGACAGACAAGCAGTATGAAGCAAGAGTGGGAGGGGTCAGGAACTGCAGAGGGACGGGAGCCCACACAGTTCGTGTGGAGTAGGAGGGTAACATGAGGGTAGGCTGTGCTCAGAGGGCACAGATCAGGAAGGGCTAGACACCAGGAAGACAGGCAGAGGCTGGACAGAGGCGTGATGTCGCTAGGCTCTGCAGACAGGGGCATGGAGAATAGGAGCATGGGTTAGTGCTGTGCCCCCTTTAGCATCAAGGCCAGCCCAGAGCAGACAGCCCTCCCCACGCATTGTGGGCTTCCTTTCACCAACTGGACCCAGCTGTGTGGCACTGCCTCACCCTTACCTCATAGACTCCACAGAACATGGACATAAACTTGCTGAGGACGGCAGCACAGATGCTGGCAATGTGGACAAAAGGACCCTGGAAGAGAGCAGGAGAACTGGGTCTCGGGAATGGAGGGAGGCTTTGAGGCTTCACTGAACTAGAATTTCCTGCTGAGGCCCTGGGCTAGGTGATGGAAAGAAATATGGAAGCCAGACAGAAGTTCTGCCCTCAAAGAGCCTCATCCCAAAGAGGGAGAGAGAGATGATAAATCAGTGTGTTGTCAGAGAATGCCAACAGCTTAGAAGCAAATGAGAGGGAGCAAGATGAGACAGGATTGCATGGACTTAGAGAAGGTGGTCTGAGGAGGTTTCCTTGGCCATCCACAGCTGAGCTAGTGCTTTGACCATGAGTGAGCCTCGTGGGTGCCAGGAAGGAGAGTGTTCCTGGCAGAAGATACAGCATGTGCAGGAGTCTTGGGTGGGACAAGCATGGCATGATAGAAGAGTAGAAAGAAAGCCTTAGCATCCAAGCAAGGGAAGCAGGCAGACTGGGAGGCTGGAGGTCTGTGCAAACGGAAGCAGGCAGATTAAGCCCAGGTCTGGTAGGCTGTTGTGAGAAGTGCAGATTTTAAGTGCTATGGAAAGCTCTTGAGAAGTTCTTGACCCCAGGTCAGACACGTCCAATGCCATTAGAAAAACGCCTTTGGTTGCCGTGTGGACTACTGCCGGTAGGGGGCACACTAGTACTGAGCTGAAGCCGCCTGTTACCTTGAAGAAAGCAGTCTCTTTCTAGGTCTCAGCCTTCACATGCTAAAATGGGGGAACCAGTCATGGTGACTCATTCCTGCAGCTAAGGCAGGATTGCCATGATTTTGAGGTTAGCTAGCATGGGTTACACAGTAAGTTCCACATCAGCCTGAGCTACAGAATGAGACCCTATCTCAAACAAGAAAACAACAAAACACAAAGCAAAAATAAAGAATAAGTAGATGAAAAATAAATAAGAAAGAAAGAAAGAAGGAAAGAAAGAAAGAAAGAAAGAAAGAAAGAAAAAGAAAGAAAGAGAAAAAAGAAGAAAGAAAGAAAGAAAGAAAGAAAGAAAGAAAGAAAGAAAGAGAAAAAGAAAGAAAGGAAGTGTATTGGTCTGGATTTTAGAGAGGGCAGAAGTTTCCTAAGAGACCTTCTGGTTGTCACAACTGGGGGCTGCTCCTGGCACATAAAGTTAGAGGTCAGATTTTGCACAGGGCAGAGAGCAACAACTTCTTCCCAGCTGAGTTTTCCAGCCCCAAACATCAGTCTGGACCACCACATGGTCAGCACGTGGACAGGCTGCTGTAAGGTCTTCCCAGCTCGTTCTGCCATTCTACTTTATGACAAGGACTTCCAAAGCTTCCCCTTTTTACTGCCCCTTGGCCCTGGCTGAGTCTGGTCAGCTCTGTCAGACGTTCCCCCAGGTCCACAGACCTACCTCTTTCCCCACAGGGATGCCACTGCCCAGCCCAGCAGTTAAGGCCACCACCTTGGCCACAAAGGCCTTGATTGTGAGATACTCCTTCAGGACAACACCTCGAAGAATTGTCTTCATTTCAGGGATTCCAGAGCCTTTTAGGTTAAAAAAGGATAATGTGCAGGTTCAAGCTATAGGTTAAATGTGAGAAGAAAGTGGAAATGGGGAGGAAAGCACCGTGAGAGGGCTTCAAAGTCAGTGGGTGGATCTGGAGGGCAGGAGGAGGTCAGAGTAGGTCTACAGGAAACCAGATTGTGAGGCCTTACAGAAAGTACTCACCAACAGCCTGGGGAGAGATGAGTTGGCAAAAGAGGGCACTGAAGAGGATGAGGATGAGTGGGAAGGTGACCCAGGCCAGGTACTGCAGAGGAAGGTTGGGCTTCATCTGGGCGTAGGTCCACTTGTAGGCTGCAGGAACACATCTCAGGGTCAGTTAACGTTGAGTTGAGGTTGACAGTGACACCCCCTCACTGCCACCCTCACAGTCACAGCCCCAGACAGTATGCTGGCTGAGCCCTCAGGCCCTGAGCATCTCATGTGGCCCAGGGCTTTACTCTCCTTGTACCCGTGGTAATTCTGAGACCTTCCCTCTGGTGGGGGTAGCTGGTGGTTCTGCTGCAAATCACAGTTGAGTATGAGACTGTAGCAACTGGCCAGAAGCCATAAAGTGGGCCACCACAATGAAGGGGCTCCTGGGACTAAGAGCTTTTCGTGATGAAACTGGGAAGAACTCTGGGGAAACTTCAGCAAGTGGGTCAGTCCATGAGAAGGGCCCTCACAGCTTGGGTAGTGCTGGAGGCATGAGTGGTGGATCCGGGGCCAGAGCCCTCCTGACCCCTTACGCAGCATCCTCTGCCCAAACACGCCTGGCCTGCCCTAGGCAGGGACTCTGGAAGTTTCCATATTGAGGATGTGGAGGGCAGCAGCTCAGGGAGTACCTACCCTGAAGGCTCTTGGCACTGACATAGTCCATGCACCAGCTGACAAGAGCCATCAGCAGGCCCAGGAGGATGAGAAAGATCCAGTCTTCCCCCAACTTCCTTCTGATCACACGTCCCAGGCGGTGGACACAGTCTAGGAAGAGGGAAGGGTAAACAATGAGGAAAGCATCTCTCCAGTCATTTCTTTGGGAACTTGGCTGAGGCGTGGGGGTGGGGAGGTTGTAGTTGTCTGTGTGTTTTAGCCACTGGTTGGCTCTTTACATCTGCCAGTGGCTTCTCCTGTCCTTTCAAAAAGAACTAAAACCTATTCCCCATGAATACATGAATTTCCATCTAAAATTAATTTCTTGGGATTGGGGAAGAACAGTAAGGAAGACGGCAGTGTGAAGGAGGCTGGGGGGGCACCTTCCCCTCAATTCAAAGAGGGCTTCAGTGTATGGGCAATGGGGGATGTGCAGTGGACATCCAAGTTTTTCTCCTGATCCCTGTACCTCCTTCCATTCCAGATTCCTTTATTCCTCAGTCCCCATCACCTTGACATTTAGAATAATGGTCCTCATCCACGCTGTCCATGGTAGAACTGGAGCCCATCTTCCTGGGCATCCCCCTGTCCCGCTCCTTGTTTGAATATTGCTCTTTGTGATAGCCATATATCTGTACAGAGGGAGAGTGATCAGTGTCTGCCTTGCTGAAGAGTCAAAGAGAATACAGAGGACATCATAGATGAACAGAGAAAAGGAGAGCTCTTTTGGATCCTAGGCATTGAGGGCTGCATGTGGGCACTCTGTGGTCAGCCCAGCCCTCTCCTCTCCAGTCTCCAATCACAGACATCTCACTGCTTTTCCTGTCTTCTCATTTCCTGCCTCTGTTCCACCATAGGAATCTTCAAGGGGTTTCTTTTCTAATTGGAAGTAATGGAGAACTGTGCTAAAACCGGGTATCCATATCAGGTGTTCTAGATCTCTCTGCCTCACCAGTACTCCTGCATTGACTTCCCTCCTCAGGATCCTAAACTGGACAGGGCAAGACCACCTAGCCAGCAGTTAACTTTATTTTCAATCGACACATGAAACTTTCCTGTGTTAGCTCATGAGTCTGGGAGAGATGTGTGAGTGCTGATCACTTTGAGCTGGCCCCACACATGCTCCACTAACTTGTCCTTTGCGGCCAGGGTCAGGCCAGGCCATGTTGCTGATTCTGGGAGAGCCTGGGTAGCAGAGATCTGCTTTCACAATATGAGCAGCAGTTTGATGTTTTGGTCCACAGCAGGCATACACTAATTGCCCTGCTTGAGGTTAGTGATTGAGGAAGGCAGTTCTTCCCTCCAAACTCTACCTGCAACCCACAGAGAGAAAATATTCCCAGCGGAGGTCAGACTACGAGGACAGCTCCCCAGGGTCTCAGGCTGACGAGATGAGGAAAGGGTGTGCTTCCTTCCAATACCCGGGTTGGGAAAACACTACAGGAGCCAGATGCATCCTTCTGGTCCAGCCCTGATCCAGCACACCATGGAGGGTTAGCAGACATGAAGGAAGAATTCAAGTTGCAAACATCTAAGTGTGAAATAGGGCTGAGGGAGGGAATGGAGCGATGAAACCACCTTGACAAAATACTGCCTGTTGTGTACTGGTGGTTCATTATGCCACTCTCTCTATTTTGTGTATGTGGTATGTTCCATCATAAAAATTAAACAAAGAAAACATTACATTCCAATTGCTTTGCCCTCAAGGCCCTTTGGAAACCAGCTGAAGTCTGCTCCCTAACTTACTACTCTTTCCTGCATGAAGCATCAGGGGTGACAGTACACTCGGCTCCACTGGCTGAGTGTCCTGTCACCAGAAAGTGCTCTAACTGCACTTTTGCTCAAATTGTCACCCCTCCTCCTCCGGAAATGACCAGCACTGTGGTGAGAATGAGCTGGCTCTGACATTGACATCCTGGTCCCCGACAGGCTTCCCTCCCTGTCTGTACATCTACCCTTAGCAACAATCAGAAGAGAGCCCAGGCCTGAGACCACCAGTGAGGCCCATCCCTCAGGTTCCCAGCCTGACAGCTATAGGGGCCACAGGCTATGTCACCAAATCCCTTCTAAAGTCTGATCTCTCCTCAGACTCCTTTCATCCCATCATGCTCTGCTTTCTCTGCAGCTAACGGGCACAGTAACTAACAGAAGCCTTTAAATTTCCCAAGGCAGTTTTGCCTTCCTTTTCCTGTGCCATCCATTTCCCCGCCCCAGCCCTGGAGGATAATCGCCCTTGCACACAGCTTTGCAGCTTCCCAAGTGTCTCCTACTTCACAGAAAGTTTTAAGAAGAATGAAAAAATGGCATGTGTGGCACATTGTGTGTCCATGTATGCACACACATGCACTATGTGGATGGAGGTCAGAGGACAACCTCTAGGAATACTCTCCCTCTACCATGTGGGTGCCAAGGACTGAACTCAGGTCATCAGGTTTGGTGTTAAGTGCTTTTACCTACTGAGCCACTTTTTCTGGCCTTTTTTAATAGTAATAATAGCAACAATAATAAAACAAGAAACCAACACCAGAAACCACTAAGACCTCAGGGCCTCACACACTGTGCCAGAGCTTTACCTCCAAGCTCTTAAAAGCTTGACTGTCTTTGATCACTGATAAATCCTCTGGACTTTCTTTCCTTGCTTGTCCTAGTTCCTTTTTATCTGCCTTCGGCAGAAGTGTTCGTGTGTATGTGTGTGTGTGTGTGTGTGTGTGTGTGTGTGTGTGTGCATGTGTGTGTGCACGCACGTGTGTGCATGCATTCTATAGGACATTGGTGACAGAAATCCCAGGCTGTCTGCATGTGGGTAAAGGTGCAAGAGCCCCTCAAAGCACTTGCAGAGACTACAGGAATCACTGTGTCGATTACATAAATACGTAATCATGCCCTCTTCATGTATGTTTCCTCTGCTGCTTCCCCACAAGGCTTGACTATCTGTTAGTAAAGGCTGTGAAAGGGCATGCATATCTCTGTAAGTACATACTTAGGCTAAGCCCAGATCTTTGAAAGATTTTCATAGTTTGAACACATTACCATTTACTTTAAGAATAAACACTGCCCCCTCTTCTCACCTAATTCCCAATTTTGACAATCCCTGGTACCACAGACTCCCCTACCTGTCCTCCCCCCGCCCCAAGAGTTTACCTGTGTGGGGTGGGCATTCTGCCAGGGACCTGCGTCCTTTCGGGGCCGGTGCTGAAGGCCCCCATTCTCCGAGGGCAGTCCATAGCTGGTAGAGTGTTCAAAGGACATGTACTGGTACTGGGGGGCACTGCCCCACCAACTCTGTTCACCCCCATGCCGCTGGGGCTGGGACTGCTCCATAGTTCTCCCCCGCAGCCCCAGCTAGGCCTTGGCCTGCTTGCCCACACTCTACCCCCAGTACAGCTCCTTAAGCCTCTGCTCCAGCCTGTCCCCAAGGCGTCTGGGGCACCATGCCCACCTCTAGCTATTTATAGCTGCCTCTCATCACATGACCCCCCCAATGCCACATCTGATCTGCCTGGGGTCGAAGCAGGTGTGGGTGCAGTGTGGGGATGGGGGTTGGGAAGAGAACCTGTGGGAGAGCCCCACAGGGAATTCCCTCTGCCAGCCAGCAGCATTGTTCCCTTCCTAGGAGGCTTCCAGTCCCAGGTCACTGGTCCCTCTATAAATATCATCTGATCACGATGGGAAATTGCCTAGTGTGATGTGTAGGCTGTATGCCGACTGGGCCTTCCCTGAAGCCCTCCAAAGCTGCCACTTCTCCTTCAGTATGTGGGAGGTGAGGGCTGTGGTGGTGCTGAACAAAGTCACTCCAAGGTCTGGTAACACTAGACAGGTAGCTCACCTGGGAGAGCAGCCGATGCCTCTCTGCCAGCTCTCCCTGCTGGGCTGTTTTCAGCTCAGTATCTTTGCAGGGTTCAGTCCTCATCTGGATCCTGAACTTCTCTGTGGTTAGCTCTCCATCCATCCCAGCTTTCTTCTCCAGCTCTTTCTACCCTGTGTCTCAGCTAATAATGCGACTGCCTTCCCTTGACCCCACCCTTATCACTACTGGGTGTGGAATGCTGTGGGAAGCAGCCTTGGGTTTTGGAATGCCTCTCATTTCCCAGACACGTTTTGACCCTACCACCACCTCTGATCTATAGGGAGGGACTGAGCTTCCCTCTAGACCATGGTGCCCATGACAGCTCTACCAGAGTAGGTTAGATAACAGAGAAGAGGAAGTGGCGAGTCACAGGGAAGGTGGTAGTGGGAAGGGAGTTTCTCATGATGAGACCAAACAAAAGATGGAGAAGTAACCTTCCCTTTTCTGATCAATAAATTAATTTTGACTAAGACCAAAGTACTCAGGCTGACATTGTTCCCCCCATCAATTTTCCTAAGACATTCTTTCTCTATGAACTTATTATAGAAAAAACTGAGGCAAACTGAATTTTCAGATCCATCATCAAATGAGTTTCTCCCAGGACAGCGCAAGTTCAGGAACTGCAGGGTTTGAGCACCAAACACTTGATCTAGAATGTAACTTTGATCCACACTAAATGGGATTTCTCAATGTGGGAAGATGGATACCATTAAATCATTTCTTTCTTCCTTTTTTGAGACAAAGTCTCTCTGTAACTCACTATGTAGATCAGGATGGCCACAATCTCACAGAGATCTGTCTGACTCTGCCTCCAGAGTGCTGGGATTAAAGGTATGAGCCACCAACCACACCTGGCTCCAAAGTACCATTTCTTTAAAAAGCTACTTTTTAAGGTTTTATTATTACTTTAAATTATGTGTATATGTGTGTCCGTGTGAGGGGTATATGCACTTGAGTACAGGTGTCCAGAGTCCTTAAGGAAGGATCTGCTGGGGCTGGAGTTACAAGCAGTTGTGAGCTGCCTAAATTGGGTAGTAGGTGAATCTCTGCAAGAGCAGTAAGCTGTCTTAACTGCTGAAGCACCTTTCCAGACCCTATAAAAAATGTCTCCACTTGGTCATCTTTGTATGAATCCGGTGGTTATGGAGTTTTGTTTTAGGGTAATTTTTTTCCTGGTGTCTCCCCCTCACTCCGTGTTTTTTTTTTTTTTAGTAACTTTTTTTGTTGATGTTCATGAAGAGAGTGAATACTTAGAACTGTGCCACTAATGAAAGGAAATCCCAAGAGTGCATTTCTTTACAGAGCTACGTCATACCATACTTTCGGCCCTATGCTAGAAAAAGCAGAATCAAGTCTCAAAGCCTTTTATTTTTTTTTATAATTTTTTAATATATTTTATTTATTTTTATGTGTATGAGTATATTGCATGTAGGTAAGTGCGCCCGTGTTGTGCAATGCACGCAGAGGACAGAAGAGGTCGTTGGATCCCCTGGAACTGGAGCCATCTCTCCAGCCCAAATAAAGCCTTTTAAATTGTATCTGGTATTACAGATGTAGGACTGTACTGTATCATACCTCTGTGAATGTAAAATATCTTGTACCTGCTTTACGACGCGTAGTAGTGACCGTGATTTATCAGAGCTGTTTTTAATGATGTTACTCAGAACGTTTTCTTTCCAGATGACTGAAAAGCTAACAACAACAACAAAAAGTGGTGCCAGGTACAACAGAAAAAAAAAAAGTCTATCTGTCTGTCTGTCTGTCTGTAATCTATGTATCTATCATGTTTGTGTGGGTACATGGGTGCCTTCGTGGGAAGTCAGAAAACTTTTGGGAATTGGTTCTCTTTATACCACATGGGTTTTGGGAATCAAATTCAGGTCAACAGGCTTGGCAGCAAGTGCTGCTATGTACTGAGTCATCTTGCCAGCCCAAAAGTACCTTTTTAAAGATGCTGAATACCATTTATCAGAGGGAAATAGAAATGAAAACCAGTGAGACATCACTCCACACCTGTTAGGATGGTTAACAGTTTTTCACCAATGTCAAGCTTGCCAAGTGTTGGTGGGAACCCTTGTGAACTGACAGTGGGAAGAGAAACACAGTTCTTACATGATACCAAGATAAAAACCACATAGTATAAGACAGGGCACTGGCAGCCGGCTATGAGATGGCCTTTTGGCATTACCCCAGTTTTAAGCAGATAGTCTTTTCAGGTTAAACCTGTTTTCCAACTCCAATCTCTGCTCATTCCGCCTCCCCAGCGCACAGGGCAAGAAGCATGATCATCACTTTGCAGCACAGGGGATTGAATCCAGGGCCTCGTGCATGCTACACAAGCATCACACCGATGCATGTTCTCAGCCCAACTATCACTTTTCTGTGTGTGCACAAAACAGGCAGTTTATTCCATGGCCCAACCATCACTCTTGAAGGATGTTTTCACCCATCCCTTTCCCTTTGTATATCCAGCAGCAAGGAAGCCAGGCCCACCTACTTGAATTTCAGCAAAGCAACAACTTCTCTGGGCAGTTTGTAGCAGGCTTCCTGGTGCTCAGTTCTGTCCACCTATTGGGCCCCTCTATCCTTCAGAAACCTTGGTTCTTTCCCACACTTGACAGTGTAGGCCTTCCCTGGGGGTACACTGTGTATCACTTTTGCCTATTTTTGTCTTTTCGTTTTTCTTTTTCAGACAGGGTCTCCCTGTAGTCCCAGCTGGCCTGGAACTCGCTATGTAGACCAGGCTGGCAGACAGGCCTGTCTCTGCCTTGTGAGTACACCAAGTCTGGCCTCCGTGTCTTCAAACATCAGTATTTTCCTGGCATCATCACCTTTAATCCTCAAGTAAATTTTCAAGACAGAAACCAATTTTTTTTGTTTTTAGGTAAGGGCAACTTTGGCTAAGTTCTCCAACATCTTTAAAGGCAGAACAGGCACTGACAGATCAGATCTGTCATTCTTGATTTCATGGCCTCAACACTACACTTGCTTTTTTGCTGATAGCTTCAAGCCTCTGACCATTACCTGCCTCTGTACTGGAGGAAAAATAAAGGGGGATGGGGGACAACACCCTTGTGGCTTGGAAAGGAAGGTTCCATGCTCAGTGCCTGCAGCAGTGTTACCACCTCTTCATCCCCTTTTCTTGTCTGCACTTTGCTCTGAACACTTGCTTCTTTGCTTCCTGTTTTCCTTTTCCCTGTTTAAGACAACAGGAAGGGAAGGGCAGCAGAGGGGAGCCCCCACCTCAGGGACGGGGCTAATTTTAGAAGAGAATCCCCTGGCAGAGTAAGTGGGGGAAGGGACTAGAGCTATGAAATTCAACCTGATACTCTCATTCAAGGGCAGGTGGGAAGGACACCGACTCCAGTTCAGACAGGCATTGCTCTGTTTATTCCCTAGCACACACCTCCTCTGTCTTTGCTATCCTAGAAATGGGTACTTACACCTGTGATTCCAGTCACTTAACTTCTGCGGGACCTTTGCATTCCACCTTCTCTTGAAACTACCCATCTGCTCTTGTATGTAGTACAACTAGTTTCCATGCTCTTTGGCTCCCGATGTTCTATCCAGAACTCCTCTTGATCTGGAAATATGCTTCAACTTAGATGTCATCCAGTCACCCCCTCACCCCTGCCTTTTGTTTTCTGAGACAAGGTATCACTGTGTAGCCCTGACTGGCCTGGACCTCTGAGATCTACCTGCCTGTGCCTCCCAAGTGCTTGAATTTAAAGTGTGTGCCACCATGCACAGCCAAGGCTCCCGCTCCTTATTCCTCAGCAACATTCCAGAGCTGTTTACTACCCAATGCTGCCATAGATTTCCTGCCTCTTACCAAACCTCCCTAGCCTGCATGCATGTGCACACCTGGCCTCTCCAGGTGTGTACCCCAAATACTCTCCACCTTATAGTTCACTGTTCGCATCTTTTCACGGCCAACCTGGAATTTACTAACTTTTTGCTTACTTCAGAAAACCTTAAATCTAATTTGGGCCAAGTGAAAAATTGAATCCCACTATCTTCCCTCTTCTCCCTCCTAGTGTAGCTCTGCCTGTGACCTAGAAAGCCAGAACCACCACTGCTTGTTCCTTCATCCTATCTGACCACAAGAAAGAAATCCCAGTTATGCCAACTTCAGCATATTAAAAAAGATAGTAGCTGGGCGTGGCAGCGCACGCCTTTAATCCCAGCAGTCAGGAGGCAGAGGCAGAGGCAGGCGGATCTCTGTGAGTTCCAGGACAGCTGGGGCTACATGAAGACCTTTAATCCCAGCACTGGGGAGGCAGAGGCAGGTGGATCTCTGTGAGTTCAAGGCCAGCCTGGTCTACACAGTGAGTTCTAGGACAGCTGGGGCTACAGGGGGACCCTGTCTCAAAAAGACCTCCCCCCAAAAAAACCCATAGTGGCAATGGCATAAGAGAATTTTTTTCAGCTCTAGGTATGCCTTGTGAGGGGGAGGAAATATGTAGTTTAAGGGTCTAAGAAAATTAAAGTATGTGGGCCTCAGCAGACTGTGAATCTATAGAAACAGATACCAAGCACACGTTAGTTACAAACATCAACATTTATTTGGCACCTGATGGCGATACAAAATCTTGGCAGTGGGAGGCATAAAGGTTCTATCACTCAAATATATGCATTCTACACTGACCCAAACTCAGGCTTTGGCAGCAAGTCTTCAAACTACCTGGTTCACAAAACAAACATTAACTGAGCACCTTGACTACCACAGGCCTAGCAGTAGCTAGGCACCCCTAGAGATGTAAAGGGAGTTGTCTCACACATATGTCTTTAAAGAGTTTAAAAACAAACAAAACCCAGTGGATAAAAAAAATTTGAGAGTATAAACACTATCTCTGAACATTGTAAAATGAGAAATTTGCTAAAAAGTAGGCATCTAATTAGGGTTAGCTACTTTCCCCTTTCCTTCATTCAACAAACATTCATCAAAGACCTAGTAAGTGCCAGGTACCGGGTACACACTAAGTAAATCTGCTCTCCTGGAGGTTTCAGCCTAGCAGGAAGGGTAAAAATGAATAAGCAAAACGAGCAAAATGCAGTAAGAACAAGGAAGGAACCTGATACAGTAACAGAGAGGTACAGAAGACTGTTATGGTCTGAGAAGACCTCCACAAGACTTGAAGAGTAAGATGCTACCCTGAGGAGAAGTGGATGAAGAGCTCAGAACACCCCAGAAACTGAGAGGGGCTGGAACACAGGGAGAAATCACCATTTAATGAGACTTAAAGGGCAAGTAAGAGCCAGATCTCATAAAGCAGGTTGAGGAGTTTGAATTTTATATACCACCGGTGTAACAGGAAGCTACAGTACAGTGTTCCAAGCAGGACAGTAACATCACCATACATTAACAACCCAAAACTACTCCGCTATGTGGAGAATAAACTGGAGGGGAATCAAAATGGAAATGCAAAAGGTTTTAAAGAACAGGAAAAGGTCATGAAAGCAGATAAAGGTTTTGGGGGTAAAGGAATACCATGCATGACAATGCCCTCATGAGAACAGAGAGAAACAATGAGGGGGAGAGGGAGGGCCACACGAAACTAGAACAGGTGGGAACAAGGTGCTACTGTACACCTCGAATGGCCAAAGATTGAGCAAAGGAGTATTTCAGACAGACTTGGTAGGAGCAGAGAGCAGGATGAAGTGCAGAGGGGAGAGATGCCCAGCAGGGGCGGAACGGCTAGCGAGCTTATCTAGAGACCAGAGACTAGGCTTAACTGCATGCAAGAGAGCTCAGCAAGGAAGAAACGGAGACAGGTCAGGCTGTGAAGACACATGGCTCTCACTTGCCACCCTTTTTCTGTTGATATTCTCTGCAAGACTCATTTCAACGACAGTTCAAAGAAAGCATGAGCAAGGAAGATTTCTAAGACATCCAGGGACGTGGCATGGAGACCCAAGTTCTGCTCCAAGGCCGGGTGCACAGAGCCAGGAGGAGCCAAAAGTAGAGCTAGAAGACTGTCCTTCGCCTAGGCCTGCCACTCACAGGAAGGCACAGGCTCTTCTGCTCACAGCAGCAGGGTATGTCTCATTCCGCTGCTTCTTCAAGCTAGCGAAAATGTCTGCCTTAAATTGGGACGTCTTCCAAATTCCCACCAAGGAATAAATGGGGTTGAAGGGGGGAAAAAAAAAAAAATCAAAGGTAGGCGATACCTCTGAGCTATCTTAAGTGGTATAATAAAACCAATGATCAAAGTGCTCCCTAAAAGCCCTGGGTATAGAAATATGAAGACTGAGCAATGATACTGTGTTCACGTCATTTGCCAGGCTCCCTGGCCGTAGCCAAAGCTCCTGGCAATAAATCCATTCGGAGCTCACTCTAGAGGGAAAGAGCATCACACAGGAGGAGCTGCTTCAGGGCTCTCATACCCAAAGATGGAGATGACCAACACAGGCCTGAAGAAGCCTAGGAGATTCCATATCCCTGAGGGGTAGAACAAAAACCATCCCGAAGAGAAGGCTGGATTGCGCCTCCAGTGGTCCAGTGGCCTCCAACAGCGTGGACAGCAGAGAGCTTGCATCACGTGGGTGGGTGGCCCGGGAACAGGTAGAGGTGATGGCACAAAGTGCTACAGTACTCAGACATCTCCTTGCACCGGTGGAATTCTGTGCCAGGGGCATAGCCCTCACGCTCCTTGATAAGAGCATTCACCTGGGAAAGCAGAAGCAATGATCCAGAGTCTGAGATTACCTTGTGCTTCCATTGCAGAGCCTAAATACAAGGGTAGACCACAGCAAACCGAAAGGCAAGAAGGAGGAGCAACACTTGACGGAAAGGCTATGGAGTCAGAGCTAACTTACCTTAACCAACATGTCAGCCACATGCATGTCACAAGCTCTTTCAGAGAAAACCTGAGCAAGCGCCTCGATGTACCAGGAACCCCGTTTGGTGTTCCGCATGGCAGCAGTGCCTGCAACCCGAGGTGTAAAGGTCATGGTGAATCCGCACACAGCTAGACTTCCCCAGCAATTTGTTTGTACCCTCTCCAGTTAGAATATCAGTACGAAAAACCCAGGTCTAGACTCTTCTGGAGTTGTCTTTGGGAACTCAAAATACCTTTGAGGCAGGCATAACCACATATCATGTCCGAGCGAGTGGGCAGTCTCATCCTCACTGACTCCTCTTTGCCAGCATCACTCTCCTCACACCCGGGTGAGCCCACACGGTTCTTTCCATCTTGCTGGTCAACTCCACGATCGGTTTCATCTGTGGAAAGACCAACAAAACAGATAAAGATGTTACTTCCTCTCATCTCTCACAGGCCTGAATAGGTAAACCCAGGCTCCCTACAATCTTGACTGGAGAGCCATTTCAGCTGCTGCTTCCAACCTATGGCTAATGAATTTAAAAAAAAAAAAAAAAAAAAAAAAAGGAAAAAAGGATTAAAACTTAATCAAAGAAATGACATCTTGTTACTTTTACTGTTTTTTGCTTGTTTTTTGAAACAGGGTCTCACTATGTAGCTGACAGTCTCATTATGTAGCGGAAGTTGGCCTTGAACTCCTGGTGCTGAGTGCTAGGCTTATAGGCATGTGTCACCACTCCTGGCTAAATATTTTTTACTTATTTTTAGTAGTGCTTGGGGCTGAACTCAGGGTCTCAGGGCTTCACACATGCTAAGCAAGTGCTTTCCCCCTTCGTTATACACCCAACCCTAAATTTAATTTTTTTTTTTCTTTTTTTGAGACTGGGTCTCCCTATAGCTCAGCTGGCCTAGAGCTCTCAACAAAGACCAAGCTGGAGTCAATCAACAGAGATCTGCCAGCCTCTGCCTCCCAAGTGCTGGGATTAAAGGTGTGTACTACCACAAATGACTCACTTTAAAAAAAAAAAAAAAAAAAAAAAAAGGATAAAAGGATTACTTTCCCAACATGCATCCACTGCTCAGGTGAGTGCCTTCTAAAGGCCAGGCACATGCACCTATACACATGGTCTGAACAGTTTCCATTCTGTGTAAGACAGAGAAAGCACCAAATTAAGTACTCCTTGTAAATGGAGTTAAAAATCATCTGTTTACTTGTTCAGTTAGTAACGAATAGAAACAACACTCTTTGCCGTTATGATACAACAAAATATTACTGATATTCATTCATAGGCAAAAAAAACAAACAAACCAAAAGTCAGATTGCTATACACACACTACATAAAAATTACAGCCTCAAACTATGTAAAAGATCAGAGGTTTTTCAAGGTGGTTTTCACATTTTAAAATCATTTACTACTTCTTTAAGTTTATAAGACAAATTATAGCAGGTGTCCAAGATTTAAGAGAAATTGAAAAGATAAAGAACTTAAAATGGAAAAAGAATAGAAAAGACTAGCAGATTGCAGTTTGTTTTAGGGTCAGGCAGGGGTAAAGTCTTAGAAAAGGGCTACAGGTCAATACACCAAGATAAGGATATTGCCCTTTTACAGCACTT